CAACTCATTCAAGAAGAATATCATGAACTTCAGAGCCTAATTAATGGACTAAGAAATATTGAAGCTTCTGATAGATTGAGTGCAGAGGATTTTATTAGAATTGATAACGAAATTCAAGAGTTTGGAAATGTTGAAATTACTGATGAAGAAATTATTAGTCATGTTAGACCAACAGCTGAGTCTGAGCCAGAAGATGAATTATCAATTGTTAATCAAAAAATTACTACAAAAGAGGCGTTAGAATCTTTAAACATTGTCCTTTCTTATATTCAAGATCCACCTGAAAATCTTACTTTTGAATTTAAACATATTAATTCAATAAAAGCAATTAAAAACCACATATCCAAACATACTGCTTCTAAAAAAAAACAAAGCACACTGGATAGTTGGATTACTAAATAATTATTTTTATGAAATTATCTATATATTATTTATTTATTTTTCTTTTTTATGTATTTTTATAATTTTTTTTTTTCGTTATTTTTTAATAAAGTTGTATCACGGGATTTTTTGTAAAATTTTGTCGATCTTTTTATATAGTGAAGTTTTTTGCCAAAACCAACTCTTTCTTATATCGAGCGCCGACTGTAATTTTATTTGTATATTCAATTAATTCAAAATGCAATTTACAAGTTATTGTTGAAATAAATATATTATTTTCTTATACAGTATACATTTAAAAAATCGCGTATTCCAAGAATTATACTGACCAATCATAATGATTGAAAATGAGCCGATAATACTTTAAATTTGAACTCCCATGGCTCCACAATAATGAAAAAAATAAACAGATGGAAACGAAGCTTAGACCTTAAACTTTATTTCTATCGGTTTGCTTTTTTCTAACCTTTTTAGTTGTAGAGTCACATGCTAAAAAAAACTAATTTTTATATAGAATATATGTAAAAATACCCTAGTTTTGAACTTTTGTGGCTCCATCAAATTCTATTAGGGTTTAAACTTCATTTCTATCGGGTTGCTTTTTTTAAACCTTCTGCTTAGATAGTCACGTGTTTTAAAGATCATGATAAGATCCATCTTGTGACCTTCAAAGCTATCCAGGTTCCACACCTGATCAAACCAAGCTTTCATTCCAGCTTTGTCCATCCATCCTTTTGGGTGCATTGGTACAATGATTTGAAGAGATAAATTTTTGGCACTTGTTCACCTTTAAAGATGACAATTGGTGGCAATTTTGCACCATTTGCAAGAATTGTAAGGACACATGTATAGTCGGCTCCGTAATTCCGTAAACAATTTTGGCTACCACTGTTGTAAAGATGATTAGCTCCGTATTTACTATTGGATCCGTATTATTTATTACAATGCATTGTGCATCAAAGAATAAAATTTTGGATTACTGAGACAGTTTAAATAGGAGTGGTTTCAGTTAATGGCTTATAGTAGTAAAGGTGACTTATCATTTAGAAAACCAAAGTTTATTCAATCTCTATATAACAGTTTAACCGAGTCGTGCGTTATTTTTAATCATTATTAGCTTAGCATGAGTGGTGTAAAAATTGGAATTTCTATTTCTATTTTTTTAGTATCAATTTGATCAACCAGAAAAATTTGAAATAACCTCAGACTTGGTTTATATATATATTAGCAGTTAATATGTTTACGGAATTACGATGACCGAAATTATTTACTATTACTATTACCATTATTATTATTATTACTGCGACTGAACTTATATACGGAATTCAATTAATGGAAACTTTTATTTACTATATATTACTATTACAGTTTCCCCATTTGTATTTTCGGAGCCAACTATAGACACATCTAAAACAATTTTTTCATTTCCAGTTGTCTGAACCTCCGCAGTTTTTACATCACGTTTTATCAATAGTTAGATTTCCAACCATATCAGGAGTTTTGTACATATTTCCAATTTCTGAAAGTTCATATTCAAATTGTTGAATTTGATAAACTGACATCAAGATGAACAGGAAGCTTTTGACCAATCTTCGTTTTACATTGCGTAGCAAGATATAATAATAAGTTTTAACGGACGATCCGCCTATGAGTTGTACATAGTGATCAATGAGGGGAAATCAACAATTTGTATTATTATTATATTTTTGTTCCACTAAAAAAGTTTATATAAATTACCGTATTTTAACAAAAATTTTTCGACAAATAATATATACAATAATAATAATCATGTATTTTTTAAAAATGGAAACGGTAACCATTTTGTATAGAGATGATGATGCTTCTACTGACAATAATGGTGATGATGAATATTCCAAGAAAAGAAAAAAAAAATATGGGGAATGTCCAACTTGCAATAGATATAATACTTATAATGCATGGTGTCAATCATGTGATCCAAAGCTATTAACTGAAGGATGGACTAGTACTAGTGGCAATGAAACATTAGATGAGTTGATTAAAAGTACACAACTTAAAGCAACTGAGTATGATAATAAATATTATCTTCAATGGATTCCTTATAATGATTTAACAAATATTGAAAAGATTGGTGAAGGTGGGTTTGCAACTATATC